GCTGCTACCGCCGCGGCCGTCTGGAACGTTCTCTCACCTTCCGATGTTAGGAAGCCACTGTGCAGTTGTGCCCTTTTACATCGTCGTCGTCATCATCATCATCTAGATTGACAAAACTCATTTATTTAAAGCTTCCTCCCCTCCCTCCTCCCTCCATCATCCCATCGCGGTTGGCTACTACGTGCGGTGCGAGAGAAAGAAGTTCAACAGACGGACACTCTGCAAACCTTTCACCCCTGGCACAGCATGGCGGAGTGAAGATGAAAACGATTCGCGTTGAACTTCCTTCGCAACGCGCGTAACCAACCGCGGCTGATCGGAGGTGCTGGAGGGGGGGGGGGGGTGAAAGGACGGACACACGCCGACCAAACGCACGAAGGCAGTTCTAAAGAAATGGCTTCACGTGTGATGCACGGGAGGGGGAGGGGGGGTGATGCAGCTAAGGAGGGTGATGTATGTGGCAATGAAGAGTGAGAGAGGAAGGGAGGGAATGTTGAAGGTGTGGAGGGAGGGATGAATGAAGGAGGGGATATTGTAGAGGGAGGAGCAGCCTCCAAGGGTCTTCGTTAAATCGCAAACTCCAGCTCGAGCCGTCTCCACCCACCCACCCCCCACATCTGCACGTCTGCTCAAGGAGTTGAGCCATGCGCCTCCAGAATCACGTTTCGCTGCTGCTGCTGCAGATGATGCTGCTGAGTGCAACACCATCGACGGCAGTCCCTGCTGCTCCTGCTCCTGCTGCTGCTGAGACAGGTAAAACAACAACAACAGCAACGATTCGTGGTAATGTGATTTTATTTTTCTGGCTGCCGCCTGATGAAGCTGGTTGTGATTACTGGCGAAACGTCGTTGCTCAGATTGTAAATGTTGTGGCTTGGCTCTCCAACACACAACCGGTGTGGCTGTACTAGTATACTACACTATACACTACACTATACACTACACTATACACTACACTATACACTACACTATACACTACACTAGTATACACTACACAATATACACTACACTACTTTACACTTCACTATACACTACACACTATACACTACACTATACACTACACTATTATACACTAAACTACTATACACTGCACTATACACTACTATACACTACACTATTATACACTACACTATATACTACACTATACACTACACTATACACTACACACTAATGCTGTACTAGTGAGGAATTGGCCACGTTCTGTTTACGTGACAACCCTTTCTAGTTGGCTGTGTCGGGCAGTGGCCGGTTCTAACGACGCAACATTTATATATTTACGCCATCTAACCCATAAAAAAACCTCTATAATAGGGTTTAGATCGCGTAAACATGAATGTTATGTCGTGAAGCCACCACCACCCGACACAGCCGATTATTAGGGCTGTTCCACGCGGACAAAACATGCCAATTCCTTACCAGTTCAGCACACCGGTGTGTTGGAGAGTCAAGTCACAACATTCATCACGACTAGGGTCACCAGGAGGACAGTCGGGGCTGGCTGTCGGCCAGAGTTGGCTGTCCACCTGATGATGCTCGTTGACATTTACTGGCGAAACGTCGTACTCAGATTGTGAATGTGGTAGTGGGTTTTCTCTATAACACACGAGCGGTGATTGTGAATGTTGTAGTGGGTTTACTCTCTAACACACAAGCGGTGATTGTGAATGTTGTAGTGGGTTTACTCTCTAACACACAAGCGGTGATTGTGAATGTTGTAGTGGGTTTTCTCTATAACACACGAGCGGTGATTGTGAATGTTGTAGTGGGTTTACTCTCTAACACACAAGCGGTGATTGTGGATGTTGTAGTGGGTTTACTCTCTAACACACAAGCGGTGATTGTGAATATTGTAGTGGGTTTACTTTCTAAGACACGAGCGGTGATTGTGAATGTTGTAGTGGGTTTACTTTCTAACACACAAGCGGTGATTGTGAATGTTGTAGTGGGTTTACTCTCTAACACACGAGCGGTGATTGTGAATGTTGTAGTGGGTTTACTTTCTAACACAAGCGGTGATTGTGAATGTTGTAGTGGGTTTACTCTCTAACACACAAGCGGTGATTGTGAATGTTGTAGTGGGTTTACTCTCTAACACACAAGCGGTGATTGTGAATGTTGTAGTGGGTTTACTCTCTAACACACAAGCGGTGATTGTGAATGTTGTACTGGGTTTACTCTCTAACACACAAGCGGTGATTGTGAATGTTGTATTGGGTTTACTCTCTAACACACAAGCGGTGATTGTGAATGTTGCAGTGGGTTTACTCTCTAACACACAAGCGGTGATTGTGAATGTTGTAGTGGGTTTACTCTCTAACACACAAGCGGTGATTGTGAATGTTGTTGTGAGTTTACTCTCTAACACACAAGCAGTGATTGTGAATGTTGTAGTGGGTTTACTTTCTAACACAAGCGGTGATTGTGAATGTTGTAGTGGGTTTACACTCTAACACACAAGTGGTGATTGTGAATGTTGTAGTGGGTATACTCTCTAACACAAGCGGTGATTGTGAATGTTGTAGTGGGGTTTACTCTCTAACACACACAAGCGGTGATTGTGAATGTTGTAGTGGGTTTACTCTATAACACACGAGCGGTGATTGTGAATGTTGTAGTGGGGTTTACTCTCTAACACACAAGCGGTGATTGTGAATGTTGTAGTGGGTTTACTTTCTAACACACGAGCGGTGATTGTGAATGTTGTAGTGGGTTTACTCTCTAACACACAAGCGGTGATTGTGAATGTTGTAGTGGGGTTTACTCTCTAACACACAAGCGGTGATTGTGAATGTTGTAGTGGGTTTACTCTCTAACACACAAGCGGTGATTGTGAATGTTATAGTGGGTTTGCTCTCTAACACAAAAGCGGTGATTTTGAATGTTGTACTGGGTTTACTCTCTAACACACAAGTGGTGATTGTGAATGTTGTACTGGGTTTACTCTCTAACACACAAGCGGTGATTGTGAATGTTGTAGTGGGTTTACTCTCTAACACACAAAGCGGTGATTGTGAATGTTGTATTGGGGTTTACTCTCTAACACACAAGCGGTGATTGTGAATGTTGTAGTGGGGTTTACTCTCTAACACACAAGCGGTGATTGTGAATGTTGTAGTGGGTTTACTCTCTAACACACAAGCGGTGATTGTGAATGTTGTAGTGGGTTTACTCTCTAACACACAAGCGGTGATTGTGAATGCTGTAGTGGGTTTACTCTCTAACACACAAGCGGTGATTGTGAATGTTGTAGTGGGTTTACTCTCTGACACACAAGCGGTGATTGTGAATGTTGTAGTGGGTTTACTCTCTAACACAAGCGGTGATGGTGAATGTTGTAGTGGGTTTACTCTCTAACACACAAGCGGTGATTATGAATGTTGTAGTGGGTTTACTCTCTAACACACAAGCGGTGATTGTGAATGTTGTAGTGGGTTTACTCTCTAACACACAAGCGGTGATTGTGACACACAACATAGACACACAGAGAGAGACAACACAGAGACACACACAGAGAGACAGAAAACAAACTTAAAACCTCCCCGTTGAGGTGGTTCAAACTTGCGTAACTGCAGGAAATAAGAACAACAAAACGAGACAGAGAGAGAGAGAAAACACACTAAATCAAACAAACTTAGTAAAATTTGGAAATGTAATGCAATGCAACACAGCGAGTCGGTCAACACACAATAAACGCATTGCCTGGTTGATTACGTTCTTCCAGAGATTGCTAAATTGCATTATATTTCTAAGTTTACTCGGTTTGTTTTCTCTTTCATTTGTACCTGATGACGATTGCTTGTGTTGCAATCGAAACGTCGCACGCTATTATTTAATGTTGACGATGATGACGTTGACGATGAAGATGTTGACGATGATGACGATGATGATGAAGATCTCGACGATGATGACGATGATGATGACGATGTTGACGATGATGACAATGACGATGTTGACGATAATGATGACCATGATGACGATAATGATGATGATGACGATGACGTCGATGATGATGATAATGATGATGGACGGTGATCGAGACTAACAACAGAGTGGAAGCCAAGGAGATGGAACACCTCGCTAAGGTGGTCCACAGCGCGGTTGGCTACGTACGGTGCGAAAGAAGTTCAACTTACATGCGTAGGTGGTGGCGCCTCGTGGGAGGCCTTCGTCCAATAGTGGATAGACCATGGCTGATCACGATGATGATCACGATGATGATGGTGATGATGATCACGATGATGATGACGATCACGACGACGTGTGACTTGTGTGTAGTGTGACGTGTGTGTGCGTATGTGTCACGTGTGTGTGTGTAGTGTGACGTGCGTGTGTGTACTGTCACGTGTGTGTGACGTGTGTGTGTTGTGTCACGTGTGTGTGTTGTGTCACGTGTGTGTGTGTAGTGTGACGTGTGTGTAGTGTGCCGTGTGTGTAGTGTCACGTGTGTGTGTGTAGTGTCACGTGTGTGTGCGTACTGTCACGTGTGTGTGACGTGTGTGTGTGTAGTGTTGACGTGTGTGTAGTGTGCCGTGTGTAGTGTCACGTGTGTGTGTGTAGTGTCACGTGTGTGTGTGCGTACTGTCACGTGTGTGTGACGTGTGTGTGTGTATAGTGTGACGTGTGTGTGTGTGTGTAGTCACGTGTGTATGCACGTATTTTGAACATTTCGCACCGTACGTGGCCAACCGTGGCTAATATCGGAGTTGCGTGGAGCAAGACGACAAGCTTCACGGGGATAGGACGGCGATGTGGGGTGACGTTCAGCGTCGGCGCAGCGCCACGGATCCGGCGACCCGAGCTCGATTCCCGCTGACGACCCAACACCCAGTGACGATTAAATAAACCGGTCCTGGGCCTCCCCTAGGTCGACTCAGCCTCAAAACGAGTACCTGATGCGGGAGAGAAAGGCGGCCGGGGCGTGGATGATGACCACAGTCTGTTAAGGCGACACGGGGGGGGGGAGGTGGGGGGGTGGGGAAAGTCTTTTGCCTTTATGTTTGATGCCTACAGCAGCAGCAGCTGGAGACCTGGACGAGTGCGCTCTAGGCACGGATGAGTGCCACCCCGACGCCATCTGCCGGAACACGCTGGGCTCGTTCACGTGCACGTGCACGCCGGGCCACCACGGGGACGGCAGGCACTGCCAAGGTGGACGATGTGTTTGCCTCGCGGCCAGTGGCTGGCTGCTGCTGGCTGCTGCTTCTGCTTCTTCTGGACCCTGGGGTGCTCCCGAATGTCGTCTATCTACAGCGGCGCACATCCGTGAATGGGCCCGCGTCAATTTTCGTGTCGTTGCGAGCAGCGGCCCCCCCCCCCCCAAACTATTTTTTTTCACGGACCGGGGGTTGTGGGGGGGTGGGGGGTTGTTCATCTTTGGGTCTTTCCCACTTTTCAAAGGAAGCTCTCCAGCGACGTCGGTTTTATGACTCATCGTGGCTACTTAGGGGGTTGGTAGCTTGTGGGCTTACCAACACCACGTGACTGAGACTGAGTGCGCAGTGCGCTGGGATAGAGGCGCGGATGGAAGTGGCAAATTATAAAATAATGGGGGCCACGTGATCGGACTTCACCGCTCTCACCTCCTCCTGCTGCTGTGCGGCCCGGTTCCTAACAGGTCACGGGACCGGTACCGGCCTGCGGCCCGGTGGTTGGGGACCCCTGGTTTAGAGTGTCTGTAGAGAGTGACACACGTCTAGAATAATAATGATAATAATATGCATCATCTGTGCCAGTGGTTCTTCACCTGGGGTACGGGATGCCCTTTCCGGGCGTGGGTACGAGACGCGGCCAGAAGTTGTTTTTTGTTAGAATGTAAATGATCGAAAATACAAATTAAGCTACGGGGCAACGTAAGTAGACAACTTTACTTCGTTTCACCGAACCCTCTATGGGTCTCTGTGCGAGTCTATGGGTCTCTGGGTGAGTCTATGGGTCTCTGTGTGAGTCTGTGGGTCTCTGTGTGAGTCTATGGGTCTCTGTGCGAGTCTATGGGTTTCTGTGTGAGTCTATAGATCTCTATGTGAGTCTATGGGCTTCTGTGTGAGTCTATAGGCTTCTGTGCGAGTCTATGATTCTCTGTGTGAGTCTATGGGTCTCTGTGCGAGTCTATGGACTTCTGTGTGAGTCTATGTGCCTCTGTGCGAGTCTATGGGCCTCTGTGTGAGTCTATGGTTCTCTGTGCGAGTCTATGGGCTTCTTGTGAGTCTATGGGCTTGTGTGAGTCTATGGGTCGCTGTGTGAGTCTATGGGTCTCTGTGCGAGTCTATGGTTCTCTGTGTGAGTCTATTGGTTTCTGTGTGAGTCTATGGGTCTCTGTGTGAGTCTGTGGGTCTCTGTGTGAGTCTATGGGTCTCTGTGCGAGTCTATGGGTCTCTGTGTGAGTCTATGGGACTCTATGTCAGTCTATGGGTCTCTGTGTCAGTCTGTGGGTCTCTGTGTGAGTCTATGGGTCTCTGTGTGAGTCTCTGGGTCTCTGTGCGAGCCTATGGGTCTCTGTGTGAGTTTATGGGTCTCTGTGCGAGTCTATGGGTCTCTGTGCGAGTCTATGGGTCTCTGTGTGAGTCTGTGGGTCTCTGTGTGAGTCTGTGGGTCTCTGTGTGAGTCTATAGGTCTATGTGTGAGTCTATGGGACTCTGTGTGAGTCTATGGGTCTCTGTGCGAGCTATGGGTCTCTGTGTGAGTCTGTGGGTCTCTATGTGAGTCTATGGGCCTCTGTGCGAGTCTATGGGTCTCTATGTGAGTCTGTGGTTCTCTGTGTGAGTCTGTGGGTCTCTGTGAGTCTGTGGGTCTTTGTGTGAGTCTGTGGTTCTCTGTGTGAGTCTATGGGTCTCTGTGCGAGTATATGGGCTTCTGTGTGAGTCTATGGGCTTCTGTGCGAGTCTATGGGTCTCTGTGTGAGTCTGTGGGTCTCTATGTGAGTCTATGGGTCTCTGTGCGAGTCTATGGTTCTCTGTGTGAGTCTATTGGTCTCTGTGTGAGTCTATGGGTCTCTGTGCGAGTCTATGGTTCTCTGTGTGAGCCTATGGGTCTCTGTGCGAGTCTATGGGTGTCTGTGCGAGTCTATGGTTCTCTGTGTATGTCTATGGGTCTCTGTGTGAGTCTATGGGTGTCTGTGCGAGTCTATGGGTCTCTGTGTAAGTCTATGCGTCTCTGTGCGAGTCTATGGGCTTCTGTGTGAGTCTATGGGTCTCTGTGCGAGTCTATGGGTCTCTGTGTCAGTTTATGGGCTTCTGTGCGAGTCTGTGGTTCTCTGTGCGAGTCTCTGGGCCTCTGTGTGAGTCTGTGGGTCTCTGTGTCAGTCTGTGGGTCTCTGTGCGAGTCTATGGGCTTCTGTGCGAGTCTGTGGTTCTCTGTGTGAGTCTGTGGTTCTCTGTGTGAGTCTATGGGCTTCTGTGTGAGTCTACGTCTGTAAGTTGAACGTCTTTTGCACCGCCGCACGTAGTCCAGCCGTAGGTATAACATCAAATAAGTCGCGACAGTTTCGATCGCGACACGAGCGGTCGTTCCTCAGGCGGGAAATAAATAAATATGATCCACCAGTGGAACTGCTGAACCTGCGTCTCTGAAAAAGTGCGTTTTTTAATCTGTCTGCACACTCAAGCCACGTGTCGCGTTCCACCCCAACCCCCCACCCACCCCCGCCGCCGCCGCCGTGTCCATTATGCAGAGTCGGACACGTGCTCGTTGTCCGCTGGCGGGGGTTGTGTCCACGCGTGCTCTCGGACGCGCGCCTCCTTCCGCTGCTCCTGCCTGGACGGATTCCGCCTCGCGGGCACCGGCTTCGACTGCCTGGGTCAGTCACGCGGGGGGCAGTCACGTGACCGGTGACGAGCACGCACGGGTCACGGGAGAGTCACGGGACGGCCAGTCGCAAGGGAGTCGCGGGCACACAGAGTCACGGCACAGTCGGGGACACACAGAGTCACGGCACAGTCGCGGGACAGTCAGTCACGGGACAGTCACGGGCACACAGAGTCACGGGACAGTCAGTCACAGGAGAATCACGGGCACAGTCAGTCACGGGGCAGTCAGTCACGGGGCAGTCACGGCGACGGGAGAGGTGTGGTTGGCTACTCGACGGTTGTAGTCTGGGACTGAGGCAGTCGTGGGAAGTCACGGGACAATCACAGTCACGGGCAGTCACAGTTACGTGCAGTCACGGGACAGTCACAGCCACGTGCAGTCACGTGACAGTCACAGCCATGTGCAGTCACGTGACAGTCACAGTCACGGACAGTCACAGTCACGTGACAGTCACAGTCACGTGACAGTCACAGTCACGGGGCAGTCACGGGATCGGTGTGCGTGTGCCGTGTAGATGTGGATGAGTGTCTCAGTGACGGCGGCGGCTGCGACCAGCTGTGCCTCAACACCATGGGCAGCTATGAGTGCTCCTGCCGTGACGGCTTCCACCTGAGCGCCAACCTGCACACCTGCACGCCCGCCCAGCCCGGTGCGTGCCCTCACTCACCTGCGTTGTCTCACCTGCGTGTCTCACCTGCGTTGTCTCACCTGCGTTGTCTCACCTGCGTTGTCTCACCTGCGTGTGTCTCTTGTGTCTCACACCTGTCTCACACCTGTTTCACACCTGTGTCTCACACCTGTGTCTCACACCTGTGTCTCACACCTGTGTCTCACACCTGTATCACACCTGTATCTCACACCTGTTTCACACCTGTGGTGTCACCTGTCACACCTGTGGTGTCTCCTGTGCCTCACACCTGTGTCTCACACCTGTGTCTACTGTTACACATGTGGTGTCTCCTGTGTCTACTGTTACACATGTGGTGTCACCTGAGTAACACCTGTCTCACACATGTGTGCCACCTGTCACACCTGTGGTGTCACGTGTCTCACCTATGTGTCATTTACCTCACCTGTCTCCTGTCTCACCTGCGTGTCACCTGTGTGTCACCTGTCTCTCACCTGTGTCTCACCTGTATCTCACCTCTGTCTCACCTGTGTCTCACCTGTGTCTTACCTGTCTCACCTGTGTGTTACCTCTGTCTCACCTGTCTGTCACCTGTGTCTCATCTCTGTCTCACCTGTGTGTCACCTGTGTTTCATCTCTGTCTCACCTGTGTGTCACCTCTGTCTCACCTGTGTGTCACCTGTGTCTCATCTCTGTCTCACCTGTGTGTCACCTGTGTTTCATCTCTATCTCACCTGTGTGTCACCTCTGTCTCACCTGTGTGTCACCTGTGTGCCACTTGTGTCTCACCTGTTTGTCACCTCTGTCTCACCTGTGTGTCACCTCTGTCTCACCTGTCTCCTCTGTCTCACCTGTGTGTCACCTGTGTCTCACTTGTGTGCCACCTGTGTCTCACCTGTGTCTCACCTGTGTGCCACCTGTGTCTCACCTGTGTCTCACCTGTGTGTCACCTGCGTCTCACCTGTGTGCCACCTGTGTCTCACCTGTGTCTCACCAGTGTGTCACCTGTATCTCACCTGTGTCTCACCTCTGTCTCACCTGTGTGCCACCTGTGTCTCACCTGTGTCTCACCTCTGTCTCACCTGTGTGCCACCTGTGTCTCACCTGTGTCTCACCTGTGTCTCACTTGTGTCTCACCTGTGTCTCACCTGTGTGTCACCTGTGTCTCATTTCTGTCTCACCTGTGTCTCACCTGTGTGCCACTTGTGTCTCACCTGTGTCTCACCTGTGTGTCACCTCTGTCTCACCTGTCTCCTCTGTCTCACCTGTGTGTCACCTGTGTCTCACTTGTGTGCCACCTGTGTCTCACCTCTGTCTCACCTGTCTCACCTGTGTCTCACCTGTGTCTCACCTGTGTGTCACCTGTGTCTCACCTGTGTGTCACCTGTGTCTCACCTGTCTCTCACCTGTGTGCCACCTCCAACTCACCTCTGTCTCACCTGTGTGCCACCTGTGTCACCTGTGTCTCACTTTTGTCTCACCTGTGTGTCACCTCTGTCTCACCTTTGTGTCACCTGTGTCTCACCTGTGTCTCACCTGTGTCTCACCCGTGTGCCACCTGTGTCTCACCTGTGTGTCACCTGTGTGTCTCACCTGTGTCTCACCTGTGTCTCACCCGTGTGCCACCTGTGTTGTTATTCCTTGACTCACGCTGTAGATAATCTGATTATATTGATCTGACGTTGACGACGATGATGATGACGACGACGACGACGACGATGATGACGACGATGATTGTGTTACAGGTGTCCCGGGATGTGTGAGCGGTTCTCACATCTGTGCGCACCTGTGCGTCAATGAGATGGAGCCCAACGTGCCGTGCGTGTGCCGGCCTGGGCACACGCTGGCGCCTGATCTCGAAAGCTGCATCAGTGAGACACCCACCAACCCCGTAGACACACACTACAGAGACACAGCTCTCCCCGTGTAGCCTTGTAACAGACTGTTGGGGCAAGTGCTGTTTGGCCACGACCACTCCCGGCCGCCTTTGCCTCCCCCCTCCCCTGGATGCTGATGTTTACACACCGCACCAGGTGCTGATCTTACGAAAATATTAAGGCTGAGTCGACCTCGAGGAAGACCACGACTGGTTCAGATAAACCCAGCATTCTTCACTCATGTGGCCCCCTGGTGGCATTAAAGGCCACCAGGGGGCCGCACTAAATGCTGCCAGGGGCCGCACTAAAGGCCACCAGGGGCCACACTATAGGCCACCAGGGGCCGTACTAAAGGCCACCAGGGGGCCCCACTAAATGCCGCCATGGGCCGCACTAAAGGCCACCAGGGGCCGCACTAAATGCCGCCAGGGGCCACACTAAAGGCCACCAGGGGCCACATTAAAGGCCACCAGGGGGCTCCACTAAAGGCCACCAGGGGCCGCACTAAAGGCCACCAGGGGCTCCACTAAAGGCCACCAGGGGCCACATTAAAGGCCACCAGGGGGCCCCACTAAAGGCCACCAGGGGCCACACTAAAGGCCACCAGGGGGCCCCACTAAAGGCCACCAGGGGCCACATTAAAAGCCACCAGGGGGCCCCACTAAAGGCCACCAGGGGCCACACTAAAGGCCACCAGGGGGCCCCACTAAAGGCCACCAGGGGCCGCACTAAAGGCCACCAGGGGGCCACACTAAAGGCCACCAGGGGCCACACTAAAGGCCACCAGGGGCCACACTAAAGGCCACCAGGGGGCCCCACTAAAGGCCACCAGGGGCCGCACTAAAGGCCACCAGGGGGCCACACTAAAGGCCACCAGGGGCCGCACTAAAGGCCACCAGGGCCCGCACTAAAGGCCACCAGGGGCCGTACTAAAGGCCACCAGGGGCCACACTAAAGGCCACCAGGGGCCACACTATAGGCCACCAGGGGCCGTACTAAAGGCCACCAGGGGCCACACTAAAGGCCACCAGGGGGCCCCACTAAATGCCGCCATGGGCCGCACTAAAGGCCACCAGGTGCCGCACTAAATGCCGCCAGGGGCCACACTAAAGGCCACCAGGGGCCACACTAAAGGCCACCAGAGGGCCGCACTAAAGGCCACGAGGGGGCCCCACTAAAGGCCACCAGAGGGCCGCACTAAAGGCCACCAGGGGCCACACTAAATGCCGCCAGGGGCCACACTAAAGGCCACCAGGGGCCGCACTAAAGGCCACCAGGGGCCGTCGGTGGCCCGCGGGCCTTGCAATGAAGAACCCCGAGATAAATCGTCAGCCGGTGTTGGTAGACGTGAGCGGGAATCGAACTCGGATCGCCGAGTTCGTAAGTGCAGAGGGCTTACCACCCCGCACGGCCGCTCCCCACCCACCCAATCAGCGCGTATGGTTGCGAAAGAGGTTCAACGTATGTACATACAAACACCCGTCCCTGCCACCCTCCCGTGCCGCCCACCACAGAGACGTGTGCCCACGGCAACGGAGGCTGCCAGCACAGGTGCTCCGACTCGGAGCGCGGGCCCGTGTGCTCGTGCCAGGCACGGTACACCCTGCACGCCGACGGCCACAGCTGCGTGGGTGAGCGACTCCACTGAGTGATGGCGGTGGCGGTGGTGGCGGCGAGAGTTGTGGTGGCGGCAGCGCCGGCGGCGATGGCGGTGGTGGTTGTGGCGACGGTGGTGGTGGTTGTGGCGGTCGTGGTGGCGGCGGTGGTGGCGGTGGTGGTGGTCGTGGTGGCGGCGGTGATGGTGGTGGTGGTTGTGGCGACGGTGGTGGTTGTGGCGACAGTGGTGGCAGTGATGGTGGTCGTGGTGGCGGTGGTGGTGGTGGTGGTGATCATCCCCTGTGAGGAAGTACTGAAGGCGATCCGGAGTCTGAGACCAGCAAAGGCACCGGGCAGAGATGATCTTGCAAGCGAAATGCTGAGGGAGGGTGGCGTTTGTGCACAGACTGCCCTACATGACATCATAACAACGGTCTGGACCACTGGACAGGTTCCGCAGATGCCTTGGTACCCCCGCTCTTTAAGAAGGGGGACCGCACAGACTCTTACAACTACAGAGGCATCTCACTCCTCAGTGTACCGGGAAAGGTCGTGGCAAGGATTATTCAACATTGCCTTGCTAGGCATGCTGAGGAGAGGCTTGTGGAGCCCCAATGCCATATTTTTCTGTCCGTCTGCTACAGCAGAGGTGTAGGGAATTCCAACAACACCTACATCTCTGCTTTATTAACCTGGTCAAGGCCTATGATACCATCAGTAGGCCTGGGCTCTGGGTAGTTCTTCGTGCTTTCGGAGTCACTGACCCTCTGCTCACGATCATTTGCCTTCATGATGGTGAGCAGGCCCAGGTAAAACTACATGGCTGGGAGTCGGAGCCATTCTCTGTTCACCTTGGGGTGCGACAGGGATGTCCTAGGGCTCCCACATTAATTAACATCTATTCACGTAGTTCGTGAAGACTTTCATTAGCTGTACCGGAGGAATTTCTATAAAGTAGAGATACAATGGGATGCTGATCAATGCCCGGGTGCGGTCAAGGGATGGCTCCCTATTGCTCAACCATGTTATGTATGCCGATGATCTGAAAATTGCTGCTCATTTAGAGGAGGAGTTAGAGGCCCTGCTGCTGAACCTGGAGCATGCCACTAAGAGGTGGGGCCTTACCATCAGTCCCACCAAAACTGAGCACCTGCCTGGGTATTTTGTACCATCGGACACTCCACCCCACAACTCCCAATTGGTGATAGGGCAGTAGTGGAGGGATTGGAGAGTTTTCGATACCTAGGCAGTGTGCTCATGACCGGCTCTGGTTTATCAGCAGAGGTCTCACTCCGAATCAGTTGAGCGGCATTATATTTTCATCGGTTGCGTAACGCTGTGTGGAAGCTACCGGGTCTGTCGCTCCGCATGAAGCTTCAGGTCTTCTCGGCCACGGTCATTCCCTCCCTTCTCTCTACGCTTTCGAAACGTGGACCACCCTAATGGAACATCTTCACCGGTTAGAAACATTTTGGCTGGCCTGCCTACGATCCATGCTGGGTTTAACCAGGCTGGATTGTGTGAGGAGCTCACAAATCATTGAAAGATCTGGACAAAGGCCCATCGGTGGGCTCCTGCGACAAGAAAGGCTGTATAGGCTGGGTAATGTAGCCCGCATGCCCAGCCACCGCATGCCTCAACAGCTTTTGTTTGGCTGGATCGAGGGGGCTAAACGGGCGTGGCACGGGTTAGAGAAGAGATTTAGTGATGTGGTACAGGAGGATGTGGAGCTGAGTGGACCTGCCGATGACTGGTACCAGCGGCGTCAAGTCTCATGATGGACGCTACTGGGCAGTTGGAGGCAGTCGCCCTCCAACAACAATGGAGGGCGGAGGAGCGATGCTCACAAGAACAGCTCAGCCAGTCATCTCAGTCAGTCGGCCCGTGGCACCTCGGTCTGCCCCGTGACCTCCTGCCAGCGGGCGTTCGACACTTCACGTGGCATCAACGTTCAATAAAGCCAGGCACAAGCGTCATGGTGATGTCACCGCCACTTAGTGGTGAATGGCGGTTGTTGTTGTTGTTGTGGCGACAGTGGAGGCAGTGGCGGTGGCGGTGGTCGTGTTGGTGGTCATGGTGGTGGTGGCGGTGACGGTGGCGGCCGTGGTGGTGGTGGTGGAAGTGGTAGCGGTGGTGGTGGCGGCGGTGGTGGTTGTGGTGGCGGTGGTTGTGGCGACCGTAATGGTGGCGGTGGTTGTGGCGACGGTGGCGGTGGGGATGCCTTCCTCCAGATAGACCATCACTGATGATGAAAATGGGGATGATAGTGTGTAAATGCACTGCTGTTTCACGCATTAACAGCAGACAGTTGCACGGACGGTGATGGTGGAGATGGCGGCTGTGTCCACAAGTGTGGCAGTGGTGGAACATGCACCTGTCCACAGGGTTTCCACCAGCCTCCCGGAGCCAACGAGTGCCAAGGTACCCATTGGATACACGTTTAGATATGCGATTACATACGCACACACTCTGCAATGCAGTACACGCACGTGCACGTGTAAATACGACTTCGGCGCACTTGTTCGGGAAAGGATTCTTCATTTAAGGAGCCACGTGCTCACCCTCGAACCGGCCAAAACCCCACCGCAGCAGCCCCGAATCTCCTGCGCATTCCCCTTATATACGGTGCGTGGCCACGTCTCTGTCCCGTGGCCACGCCCCTGTCCCAAGGCCACGCCCCTGTCCCGTGGCCACGCTCCTATTCCCGAACGTTCTCGCTATCCCTAGCCCACTCACACTGCAGGTTTGACTCCACTGTCTCATTACATCACCTGGCCACGCCCCTATTCTCGATCATTCTCGTGGCCACTAGTCCACTCACACTGCAGGTTGACTCCACCAGGCCACGCCCCTATTCTCGATCATTCTCGTGGCCACTAGTCCACTCACACTGCAGGTTGACTCTACTGTCTCATTACATCACCAGGCCACGCCCCTATTCTCGATCATTCTAGTGGCCACTAGTCCACTCGCACTGCAGGTTGACTCCGCTGTCTCATTACATCACCAGGCCACGCCCCTATTCTCGATCATTCTCGTGCCCACTAGTCCACTCGCACTGCAGGTTTGACTTTGACTGTGCTGTCTCATTACATCACCAGGCCACGCCCCTATTCTCGATCATTCTCGTGGCCACTAGTCCACTCGCACTGCAGGTTGACTCCACTGTCTCATTACATTACCAGGCCACGCCCCTATTCTCGATCATTCTCGTGGCCACTAGTCCACTCGCACTGCAGGTTGACTCCGCTGTCTCATTAGGTCACCTGGCCACGCCCCTATTCTCGATCATTCTCGTGGCCACTAGTCCACTCACACTGCAGGTTGACTCTACTGTCTCATTACATCACCTGGCCACGCCCCTATTCTCGATCATTCTCGTGGCCGCTAGTCCTCTCACACTGCAGGTTGACTCCGCTGTCTCATTACATCACCAGGCCACGCCCCTAATCTCGATCATTCTCGTGCCCACTAGTCCACTCGCACTGCAGGTTGACTCCGCTGTCTCATTACATCACCTGGCCACGCCCCTATTCTCGATCATTCTCGTGCCCACTAGTCCACTCACACTGCAGGTTTGACTTTGACTGCGCTGTCTCATTACATCACCAGGCCACGCCCCTATTCTCGATCATTCTCGTGGCCACTAGTCCACTCGCACTTCAGGTTGACTCCGCTGTCTCATTACGTCACCAGGCCACGCCCCTATTCTCGATCATTCTAGTGGCCACTAGTCCACTCGCACTGCAGGTTGACTCCACTGTCTCATTACATCACCAGGCCACGCCCCTATTCTCGATCATTCTCGTAGCCACTAGTCCACTCGCACTGCAGGCCCTGAACGTCCACGAGTCCGGCGTGGACGTTCATTCAGCTGCTTCTCGAAGTGCCCACGTGTTGTTACTGACGGTGCCGACGGCGATAAGCCCGTAATTCGTTGAGTTCTCATTTGTGATAGCCAAGTCGCTTCTGAAACAAAGAGCTGCGTTGCAGCTCGGCAGTGGGGGACCTCTTATAGCCGGTAAAAAAAATATGAAATGTTAAACGTAAAAAAGTTAGGTTTTTTTTGGCTTGAGTTAGACTCTGACGGAAGTCAAACAAAAAAAAGTTTGCGTAGCGTCACGGTGGGCACGGGCTCAGCAACACTGCCCGTGCGTTTGTGCATATGAGAGGCACGGGGAGGAGAGCTGTGTTACCCCAGGGAGTTGCATGCACGCAACACAGACAGACACAAACAGACAGACACACACACACAGAGACAAAGATATAAAGATCCCCCATATAGCCTTAACAGACTGTAGGTGGAAGTGCTGTTAGCGAGCACAGACACACACACAGACACAGACAGACAAGACACACACAGACAGACACACACAGACAGACACACAGACAGACACACAAACACAGACACACACAGACACACACACAGACACAGACAGACAAGACACACACAGACAGACACACACAGACAGACACACAGACAGACACACACAGACACACACACAGACATAGACAGACAAGACACACACAGACAGACACACACAGACAACACACAGACAGACACCATAGACACAGACAACACACAGACAACACACAGACAACACACAGACAGACAACACACAGACAGACACACAGACAGACAAGACACACACAGACAGATACACACAGACAGACACGCAGACACAGACAGACACACAACAACAACAACCGCCATTCGCCACTAAGTGGCGGTGACGTCACCACGACGCTTGTGCCAGGCCATGTGCACCTTGAGGCCACGTGAAGTGTCGAACGCCAGCTGACAGGAGGTCACGGGGCAGACCCAGGTGCCACGGGTAGAGAAGGGAGTGCGGAGCGACAGACCAGGTAGCTTCCACACAGCGTTACGCAACCAATGAAAAGATATTACCGCTCGACTGATTCGGAGTGAGACCTCTGCTGTTAAACTGGAGCCGGTCATAAGCACACCGCCCAGGAATGGGAAACTCTCCATTCTCTCCACAACTGCCCCATCACCGATTGGGAGTTGTGGGGG